TTTCACAGGACACTAATTGCACAATAAAATAAGTGAAGGGGAAGATTTTTGCATAGGTCTAACAGTCTGTTGTATTTTAACAATGTAACAGACATCCTACCATGCAATTACCCAAGGCAGCAAATGTGCCTTAATTAAAAGTCTACGACCAATTGTTATGTGGGTTAGAGAACATCTGCTAATTTCTTGATAGATACCCTAACATCTGCAACCACAAAGCCGGTGAAATCAAAATCCTACTTTAATCTGGAGACGGTATATCAGAAAAGCTTAGGCTAGTTGCATTTCAACAATACTTGCTTTCAGTGTCAGTTCTGGAAAATATATCCTGAAGATACACCCAGAATCTCYGTCCCAGCTATAAGCTGCATCTCCTACCAAAGTTGAGAAAAGATGGTTATGAAAAGAAGTTTGCATTGTGTGAGATGCACTTTGTGTCGAACTTAGATAAGTAGGYTTTTCCATTTCAGTTAGTTAAGTGGCACTTTTAGAAACACCAATAGGATTTTTCAAATTATTCCCTGCTATTTTTGTGCTGCATTGATGGTCTGGGGCCATTTAATGTTCGGAATCTGCTTTGGAGATTTCTTTGTAGGAAACTATACGTGTGTGTGTGCGTGTGTGAGAGTTTGTGTAATTACTGCCCGAGTCAAGTACATAGTAGGAATAACCCTAAAAATCCCTAGAAGAAGTTTTAAACAGTTGGAGTATCTGGCATGAATTGTGCATTTTTTTCAGCACACCTGTCACCTCTGATAGCACATCTAGCGTTAGACTTGGAGGGACCTGGGCTGCAGGTTAGCAAGCAAGTTGTGGCCAAAGGCTCACCAGGTTTGCCACATGCCCACTGGTCTCTGTCTTCCCCAGAGAAATCCTGCTGTGCTTTTTGTGGTTTCTGTGAGGTGCAGGACAGTGATGTAAACTGAAACTGTGACTTGGTGTAAGAAGTGCCGTTTGCTGGGAATATTTATAAATTAGGTGTGCTGACCTTGCAGCATCTTTCTTGTAGCAACAACCAAAAGAAAAGTTTAAGGATTAAGGGAAGTTTTGCTCAGTTGCTTCCTGCCTATGATTACGCAGTCCCTTTGGATTTTGGATTGTAAGTCACATAAARCACATAATATACAATTAAAGGTCTRTATAGTTCATTCCTGATGATTTACCAAGACTTAATTATATTCTTTAGTAATTGTCTTTTGTATAATGGATGTTCAGCTCTAGTCTCTCACTAAGCYTGAACACAGACTGAAATAATCAAAGACACATAAGGAGCAACATTTCCCATGTGAACATGGAAATGCTTTTAGCTTTTTGGAGGTCCCACAGCTGGACATTCATCCTGACTTGTTTGCCTAGGGAGCGTTTAATGATACTTACACAGTGCTCTRCTATATGCTTATTTAAAAGTAACTGTTGTTTCTTGAAGACTTGGGAATGCAGTGGCAGTATGAAAGCTCTTGTGTTATATATCCACCAAATAATGAAGCAATTTTTCTGGACTGTAAGCAATTCAATTATTTTGTTTCTGAAATAAATTAAGTAAAGCTTATTGAATCCAATCAGCCCTTGTTTCTAGGGAATTGTAGTTCAATTTCATTTTTAATTAGATTGAACATTGTGATTTTCTTAGCAATAGTAAGCAAGTTCTGGCAGTAAAATATGCACCCAATTTGTATTAAAAGTTCCTAAAATCCAGTGTAGGGAAAGGCAGTATATTTGACTTCGAATTTTACCATCCAAGTGAAAACTTTGCTATTGTGAMGACTTCTATTTTAAAAATGGATGTTTTACAAATTACTTTTCTTTTTTAAAACCAAATTCTACGTGATCAGGCAGAAGACAAGGAAAAAAAATGTGATAAAATATATCTTTTCCTTAACACCATGTTCAGGGCTGCACTGCTAACAGTTTTGCTTGTGCAAGGATTACAGGCAGACTGCTGTCTGCTGGAGAGACTGGGGAAGGATGAGGCAATCTTTTTTTCTGAGCTCAAATACTGTAGCTGTCCACAGGCTGATGCATAGATTTCCACTTGTAGCARGAGACTCATTTCTGATTCATTTGTGATTTGGGATTATGCATCAGTGCTTGGTAGCCCGTGGTCTGGATGCATTTCTGCCAATTTGTGGCAGCCCTGGTTTATTCCTCTAGCTCCTTCACTAACTTAATGTAGCACCTTGAGGAAGGCTCAGTAAAAGCCAAAAAACATCTTGGGGTAGTTTTTCACTGCAAAATTGTTTTAAACTCTGCCCTTAGACATCTGTGATGGCAAATGAAGTAGCATGATTGAACTTTAAGTGTGGTGTTCAAAAATTAAGCTAGAGTCAGAATGGATCTTTACCACCTATTTTTTAAAAATATGTAAATTGGAGGATTTATATAAAAGATAGTTTTATATATATATATATTTTAACCTTGAGTGTTGATTGTGATACTACTGCAGCCCCCAAATACACTGCAATATAGTAGKTGATTAAGAGGATGGTAGCATCTGATGAAACCTACATGAGGTATATACTATATTTATTTATTTTTAACTTAAGAAATAGAAATATATGATGTCATTGAGGTCTTCTGACAGTTTAAATGGCACTTAACACCAGCTTGTTAATTTTAGGTATTGGCAATTAGTAAAATTGGATGGGTGTTTCATGCAAAGCCTCATGATTTTGCTTGGAACTTCAGTAGAAAATAATAATAACTTACAGTCTGTCCAGCTAGAAAAGCTGTGTCACAGATTAATGAATCATGACTTTTGCATGTTGAACTATGAATTGAAAAACTCACTAGTTGAAGACTATTTGTTGTTATTTGTCTTATTAACACTGGTCATTGCACTGCAGGGCAGTATTTTATGTTGTGTCTCTAAAGAGTTTAAGAAAAAGAAAGGTATTTTGCGTTGAGGCTCGTTACAGCTGTGAAGATRTTGACTTTATTTAAGATGAAAATGGAAAAAAAACAGTAATTGTTTATTGTGGGCATAGTTGACACAGTTGTGATGTCAATGTCTGAAAATTAAAAGCAGCAATTATAGCTGAAACTTGAAAGCTGATTTATAATTTTGCATGTAGAACACAACTTCTCGCTAGAGATTGTAGCCATGGCAGCAGTGGTTGCTCTACTTGGTGAATTAGAGCTGTGCAGTTATTTTTGCTCTGCGAAACCGAAAAATTTATTTATTTTTTTTGTCAAATTTTAAAGACCCTTCTTGAATAAATGACTRTATATGTGTTTCTTACCTGCTATAATATGAAATAAAATCAGAAATGAAGAACAAGATATGGATGTTGGAAGAGAAAAGGTAATAGTTACTGTAAATCTTGGCTGTTATATCACTCAGCTGTGATGTTTCTTCCTCTTCTTACAGTTTTCTCACCCCTTTTGTTGTACTGTCAAGTTCTTGGCTGAATATCAGTATAAGAATATAAAAATGGGAGCAGTTCATTGCAATAATAAGCTAACTTTCCAGTTTGGGAGGTTGTCAGGACTCTCATCCATTTTTAACCTATTAAAAACATGTGCTACTCAGTTATGATTTTACTGTGTTCCTCCAAACACCTGTACCCATGTGTACGAAACATCTGGATTCGTCTGAATAGAGTTGTCTCAAGGAGACTGTTCTTTTAATCCCTTTAGGGACTGCTCATATAATAAAATGTGTGAGATTATGCAGGTGATTTTGTAGGGGAAAAAAAATGATTCGCTTGCATCTGTTTATACAAATTCAAACTGTTCTGTGATGATCTTGGCTAATTGCAATAGTAGATGTGCTTACATACAAAAATGGCAAGTAGCAGGCATAGTTATTCTTATACCTTTTATTTCCTGTCATCTTAACTTTCAAGAAAAGCAGAACTAAACATGAAATGCTTTTGAGGCTTAAACTGAATGCCATATATTTACATAATTTACATAATTGCAAAGCCAAAATAACTGTGCATAAATATTCCTTAAAACCAACAGCTAGCAAAGAAATTGAAAAGAAGATGCTCAGTCAAGGGACTAAAAAAGAAAAATTGAAATGAGAAATGGAGAAATAGTCCCAAGGTCTCAAATCTCTACAAAATCTGACTTGTGCAATCCAGAAATAGGGTTTTATATTTAAGAATGCTTTTAGTCATTCCTCAGATCTCTTAGTAGCCACTTGGAAAGCCATCAGTAGAGTGTAGTGAATAGTAACATAATTATTAAAAGGCAAAATTACTTCTGTCTGAAGAATTAATGCACTTTAGTGTCACTGCTGTAGTCTTTAGTCCGTCCCAAGTATGCAGAGCAAGAAAGAGAAAGGCCATCTCATTTCATGGGAGCATTTGCCACATKACAATTTGATTTCATCTGATACAGAATAAAATCTCTTTAAAAATAAAAAATCCTCTATTAAAGGGGAGATCAGGGATTTCTCAGTCAAAATGGTTCTGCAGGCTGCTGTAAGCTTTGGCACTTGGATGCTTTAGCCCTTAACTTTGGGGCCTCGCCCAATCTGCTGCCCTGGATCTATATATTTTTGGAAAGGTTAATTGCTAGAACCAGCTCAAGCTCAGATGTTCTAATAAGATAGAATAAAACCAGAAATCCCGTGCAAGAGTGATGTAGAGTATGCAAAAATCTGTTATGTGCTACACATAGTCATGCAGGTCCTTGAAGAAGTAAACTGTATCACCATAAAAGACGTGAAGATGTAACAGAGATTTCAGCTGAAATTTCACCTAGCACTGTTTCCTCATCAGACTTCATATAATTTATTTTTTAAATAAGAATTAATTTTGTCATTAGCCTTTGAAAACAGCTTTTAAAATGAATTGGGAAACATGAACTTGAACTGGCTAGTTTTTAATTGTATCTTTTCAAATGATAGATGATGTGGAACCGTACCAGTCTTGGTGCTATTTGTACACGACAAAGCCTGAGAGAAGACTAAGCCCCCCTCAACAGTAATTAAAATAAGTAATGCGTTTTGTTCTGGTTTGTGTGAGCTGTCGTCTGTGTGTGTGTTCCCGCAGCTCTCTCTGCTGGAAGACGCAGGGTTCGGCGGGGTTCTCCTGTACGTCGATCCCTGTGATTTGCCCAGGACGGCGGCGCTGCCTGACCAGGCCTTCATGGTTTCCTTGAATGGCGGCGGGGACCCCTCAACCCCCGGCTACCCCAGCAGCGGTGAGTCCCGCGCCAGCACGTCCAGCTAATCGACCCCTTCAGACTCTGTAGACTTTAAGTAAGGTGTTAAACATTACGCCAAACCCCATCTGAAACAGAAAACTCAGAGGAAGAGAACACGGTGTAAGGGCAGCATCATCCACAGGGGGGACCACAGGTGGCTCTGCTCTAAGTACTTTATTTTAGTTTAGTTTTATTTATTTATTTGTTATCCTAATCCATAATTTGCTTATTCTTACCCTATGGCAAAAACATTAATCCAAGTSTGTCTGGGCCTGTCCCCACTGAAAGAAAGTGGTTTTCCTTTCATTCTGCATCTTACAGTTTTATGGGAGTGGTAGTGTGAATTTCTGGACACTGCTAGTGAAGTAYAAGCAGAAATTTGTATTTCAGATGATGTAACAAGAATTTCTAGTACCTAGTTCAAGTGCCATTTGAGAAGGATTTGTTCTTTTTTGTTTTGTTTCAGTTCATAGACTTGCTTTTTAGTTATGCATCTCTAAATAAATACATTTTTCCAAGCACGGGAAATAAATAATTGAATTATCTTAAATAAAAAGAATTAGGTACTTAAAAATAACTTTATTTTTTTGAAAGCAATGTTTATAAATTGGAACRGCTGTATTTGACTTGTATGCACTACTTAAATCTCAGTTCTGGCAGTTCAGTGAATGCATGTTCTGCCTGTCTACYGTCTTTTCAGCTTTACAACTTTTTTTACTATCTAACTATTTGGAAATGTATTGTGCAGCACTCTCTGAGTTTGTGACAGGGCTTCATCAAGTATATTTGGTCCAGTTACTAGCTTAGACATCTGAAGTCTGACTTGAATTGGCACTAAATCAACTGAGGCAATGCTGGGATGCTTCATGACTAGAATGGCAGAAAATAGAAATATTTGCCTGGCTGTCAAAGAAGGGTGTTAGCTATTCACAGCATGAAATGCCTTGACAGCTCAGTGGGAAAGAAATTGCACATTTTCTCAGCGTCTCTATGTACCTGACCTAGTGTTCTTAAAAATGCCCTTAGAGCTGCAAAAGTAAATGTAACATTTTCAAGCTTTATTCTTGCTCATTTCATGGAACTRTTTGAAGAATGATGTGCTCTATCAGACTGGCTGGCTCCATAATGTTTTATTTCTCATATATGAGAAGTTAATTAAAACAGATATGTGAACATGAAGAGGACGTTTAAGTGTCTAAACTTTACATGTGGGTTTGCTCACAGCAAATGCTCCTGAGCGCTCCGTGCATTCTGGTCTCYTGTTTGAGAAAAGCTTTAATGCTACCAGAAAGGGTGACAACATTTTAGGGAGGTTGATGGATTTTGTTGGAACATCAGTATACCTTGCCTGTGCTTTCAGACCTCTGAGCACCATTCATAAGCAGGAATAGGCTTATCATACTCTTAAAAAATCCCTAGGAATTCCTAGGAATGTAGTGTTCCAAAGGAAACAAATGGATGAGCTTAATGAACAAGTGGTGTTGCACCTGTTGAGTAGGATGCAGAAGACACACGTTGCCATGCTGATAACTGTTTTATTTTTTACCTTCTGCAAACAAATTTGTCTGTGGCTTCAGAGTATTGTACTGCTTCATTTTTATTTTTTCTCCCTTCAGGAAAATCTTCAGAAAATGATAATGTTTATGCATTTCTTCTCAAAGTTGACAACAGTTTTTGTTTGTTTGTTTGTGTTTTTGTTTGCTTTTTTTTTTTTTTTAGTGGAGTTTATGTAATAATCCAGCAGGATCTTTGGAGCTGTCTTGTGGTTTTAAGGGTGAAATTTGGGGTGATGATAAGGCAAATACAGAAGGTATTGTAATTACTCAAATTTGCATTTGTTTGAAGGTGATTGATATCATCATTCCTGCTGTCAGGATTTGGCTAAACGTGAAGGACTGCAATCTGTGAAATCTTGATCACACATTTCTGAAGATGAGTTASAGTGGCTGTGAGTGAGCCATTGCTCTGTCACTACTTTTCTCCAAAAGGAGTATTTGCATTGAAAAATTTACAAATTAACTTAAAAAGCACTTTTATGATGCGCTCGTAAAACAGCAGCCATCGCGGCGCAGCAGTAGGTCTGGCTGCTGTTTTGGAATCTGCCCAACTCGGCACACTGGCAGCATCCAGGTGATATTGGATTTGGGTGGGTAGAACCCAAGATGAAGGATTGACTGCTCTGTAGTGTCCTGGAGTTGGCTGAGGGCTGGAAGTGTAGGTATTTCCAAGGCAGCTAAGCTCTGGCTGCCAATTGGAGGCTTATTTTAGGGGCCACTTGCTCTTTTGCCTGTTATCTGCTGGTTAACTCGCCTCTCTAGTCACCTGCCTTGCTTTCCTCTAATCCTCCATCCTCTGTGGCCATTTCTAGTGCTTTCCTTGTGTATCAGAAGACCCCAGTTAAGCTAATGGTACTTGAGTTTCCTCCATCCAGCAGTGTCTAGCAGATAGGAAATTTTAGCAGCAAACGAAATCAGAGATTATAGGAGACAAATAGATAGCAATAGCAAAACAATGCAGTTCCTTTTATTATTTTGCTACTTTAACCTGTAAACACATTTCTCCAGCTGAAATAGTTCTTTGTACCAATATCAGGCTCTTTCAAGTTGACTCCTGTTTGCAGGTCTCAAGTGGCAGTGGTGCTGCTGACCTTTTGGGATCCAGAAGGGCTTAGGGCAGTTGGTGATTATCTCTGGAGTGGAATTTTCAAAGACATCAAAACTTTGGTTTTGTGGTGCAGGAACTGGAAAGAGGAGTGATACAGAAAACTGCCATGGGGTTGAGGTCTTTCTCCAGTGCATATTTATGTGTGAATCTTAGGCCTTGCAAGATCACAGTAATAATTACAGTAAAACAGATCATTGTTCTAGACCTATTTTTTCCTCAGAGGATCTAAGTCTTATTATCAGTGTCTTCCATTTTGGGTGTCAAGAGATTCAATCAGGAGAGTCTGTGCATTCCAAAGTGTGTCCCTTGTCAAGGTGTGAAAGCCTGGGCCTTAATATGGCAACAGCGTTGGCAGAGTGTTAAGTGACTGCATTTTCATTTTGTATAGAATGCAGGTAGTGTGGAATGAACCAAATTGTATGTGTATTTCTTTTYTACTCTAACAAGAGTGACATTTGATTTTTGGCTGAGCCTGAATCAGCAYGGTTTGCTTCTGTTTTGTTTTGTTTTCCTAGCTTTTTGTTTAGTTCACTAACCCAAAGTCTGTGTTCTGTTTCAGTCTTTAACTAATTGCAGGTAACTCACCCCAAGTAGTTTACTTTTGTACATGGACACATTCGAGCTTAGTTGATCTAATTCACTATTGATAATAAAAATATGTGTTTTGATGATAACTGTTTTACTCAAGTTTGTACTGAAGAAATGAGAAGTCTTCTGTATTTTTGGTAGATGGTAACTGATTGTTGTGAATGATACCATAACTGTCTCAAAAAGACAAGACTATTTTAAGGAGCTGAATACAATACACGTATGTACAAATAAGGACATATATTTAACAAAGTTTAGTTAACTTTACCATATAGTTATSTGAGTGTATATAATAGTATGTTGTCTTCCTAGCATTCTTGTATACAAATTGGAAATTGTAATTGGATATAAATATATTCGCAATTTGTACTTGTGTAATTGGAAGTATTGGAATTGGAATGCTACAAAGTAAATCCTATATATTGAAAAGTTATATTTTGCACATACAAGTGTACCCACATAGTATCAAGAGCACTGCAAAGTCAGCTGGCTGATTATTTGAGCAATTGAAGGTGTAATTAGTTTTATAATTGAAATTGTTAGTGCAGTTTGAATAGTGCAAGTCAGTTTAAGCCAACCCATCTTTAATTCAGCTTGATCTCTGTTCCAGCCGACTGCTAACCACATTCAGCAGCTGCATAAAAAAGATAATAGCACCTCTTTCCACTTTCAGACAGGTAGAAACTCCCCCAGAAGTAAAGCTAATCATCTTAAGGTGAAGATATGAAAACATTCTTTTATTACATAAATATGTAGTATTATATATTATAGACTACTCTTCTACAGAGTAGTGTAAGATAAAAGGAACTCATCCTGATGTGGTTTTGGCCAATTTTGWGATTTTTGTTCTTAATAGTAGATGGGCGAGCTTGCATTTTCCTCTGWCACTAGTGCTTTTTGAAGCCCTGTGTTCCCTTGGTCATCGTTCCCAATGTCATCCCCGTAATGTCCCAAGCTACACTTCTTGCTGGTGTAACATTCGATACAGTTTGAATGCTGGTGAGGTTGATGAGATTTCTTAAGTACGGCACGATGCAGAGTTGCAAAATGAATTTTGAGCAGCTAAGTGGGGTAGTGTGTCCAGGTGAGGTCCGATGCATGAGGGGAACCTCCTTGGTCTGTTTGTCCTCTGCTAGGTGGCCCATAGGGGTGATGTGCTGGAGCACTTCAGCTATGCGTGCTCCCTAGGGGCAGAAGAACGGAGCTTTTATGCTTTTGGAGGAGTTTTGTATGCAGTGGCCCTGGTCACTATTCACCGTGTGATGTCTACAAAGCCAGATCAGGAAATAATCAATTTGTTGCTGAATGCTTTTTGGTGTCTGACATGTTTTCTAATATGCGAAAAAAAGCTGTCTATGAGAATGATGTGAATATGCCTTTGGAACTTTGGTAACCGTTTCCATTTCAATTAGGACAAGTATGTGTAGCTTCAAATACCTCTTAAGTGCTAATGTCAATAGCTGACAGGTGGGTCTGTTGAATTGGGGGGAAAAATAAAAAGACGAGGCCTCTGGGGTTATTTAAAACCTTGCTAAAGTTATAGATGTGTTAGAATAGCAATATAATGATTTGCATATTTATTTAAAACTGTGCTACAGGGACATCCCTTTACAAAACAGGTAATGAACAAATGCTTTGCTGTCTTCATGGGAGATAACGTTTTTGTGAGAGCAGATGTCAGCTAAAGCTGTCACTTTCTGATGGACGATTCCTTTTTGATATAATGCTCGTAACAAGGAGACTGA